ACTGCGCAACGGGAGCGAACGCGAGAATTTCGCATGTGTGATTTCGCATGACACAGCTCGGTTACGAACAAAGACAGTATGTTTTTATAACAAGTGAACACTGTTCTTCAAATAGAAACAAAGATGGAGTAGAGTGGTTGAATATTTGTGTTGTATTCATATGAAATCAAGCGAGCGTCAAGCGAATTTTGGCAGCACGCTTTCCTACCTGCTATATATTTATGTGTCCCTGAGCACTGTGCAGCAGCTATAGCGTGCGGTGTACTAGTGTGTTGCAGATGAGCATTTGACCGGCATCTACAGGTGATTATAGGCGAAATAGAGTAGAGAAACATTAAGACTTCGGTAGTAAATACATTTCGTGTTTATTGACCATTATTTTTTTTTATTGAGACGTTCTAAGTGCCTGTGCTCCGATAGTACCCTGGGGTACATTAGCTCTAGTAACTATAGCCCGCGTACGCACGCGGGCTATAGTATAGTTACTAGAGCTAGTACTACTACTACTAGTAGGGGGACATACACCCTATTTCAGCGCCATGGATTTCCCTGCACATTCCAAAGAGAGAATCAGTGCCTTGTGAAATACAAGAGAGGGACCCCAAGATGGGTAGGGTACTGTCCAGTATAGAAGTAGAAGTAGAAGTAGAACTAGAAGATACAAGATACATAATACAAGATACAAGCGCCAGTGAGCGTTGTAAGTTCTAATTAAGGATACTCTCCACGTTGTGCATGAAATCTCATCGATTTTTCGTTTTCAACTTTATTCGATGGCTAACACTATGTGCCACCTGTGTACATGCTAATTTCTCCATATAACGGTATATGTAAACTGTCAGAGCTTTTTTGCTTGCCCGCGTACATGTGTAGTAAGCAGCGGCTGACGTCATTATGACGTCAGAGACATGATACAACCACGATATTAACTAAGCCGATATCATTTACGTCAACCCTGCTACAGCTGTCATTACATGTATTCATGTACATTCATGTACATCTGCTAGTAGGGCTGTCATTGGTATCAAATTATTTCGATTCGATTATTGATATCTTTTTTTTCGATATTTCGATCCGATTCGATCCGATTCGATTTAATAATTGTAATAAAACATGAGCCGTGAAAGTACAGTAAACTCATGTATTGTGTTCTACTATGATAACTATGCATTTTATACATCGCTGTGCTTAAATACAACATGGGCGAAG